TCGTCAGACAATGGTGAAATAAGTTGTTGATTTCTTCCGAAAAAACATGTTTCAGATACTCTAAGACCTGATTCACTGGTACCTTGGTAAACATAAAAGCTAGATTGGCCAATCCGTGGCTGAAGGAGAGTGGTGAGGTATTAACGTAGGTATTCACGCCTCTACGGAAAGGAAACACCACGACTTATTCGACGTTTGGAAAACTTACGCAAGAAAAAGGCCCATTCTCTAGGCTCCCTTGCTTTTCTCCAAAGATGCAAAGACTTGAAAGTCGTTCCGAAATTCCTGAAAATTCGAAAAAAATTTAAATCCTCGCTAGTGGTGCCGCGAGACGAGACTAGACGAGACTTAGAGTTGGTCTCGTCTCGTCTCGACATCTCGAGACGAGACCGTGATTTAGTCTCGGTCTCGAGCACCAAAGTCTCGTCTCGTCTCGAGTGGTCTCGGCTGGTCTCGAGTTAAACAGGGTGTCTGAAAAATAGCTTAAAAACTCGTCTCTACGTGTTGGAGGACCCTACAAGGAACCCCAGAAAAATACTTTAAAAAATCTAGTGGAATTCTTAAGAAAGTTATTTGCATTTTAATATTTATTAAAATTGGCAACACTGAAAATATCCCGTTGACAATATGTCAGAGAATTTAATTAAATACCCATATAACTACCTGAAGAATTCGAAGGTGAATTTTCACTTCTACCTCTTCATATTACCAAGAATAATGCTGGAGAAGGATTTTTTTAATTCAATTATTTTTCTAGGGTTTCTCAAAGGGTCCCCTACTCCGTGGAGAGTTTTAACGCTATTTTTCGGACACCCTGTATTTATGGTTTCTGTTTTTATATTATAACGGAAGTCCAAACTGCCACAGTAAAAAAGCAATTAGTGAAAAATCACAGTAAAGAGTAACCCTCATATTTAATTGACTGATTTCATAGTCAAATAGCCCAGATTAGTCCAATAATAAAGCTATGAAAGAAAAATTTCAATTGTAATCTCGAGACACGAGACTCTCGCCTAGTCTGGTCTCGTGTCGTCGAGACTTCACAAGACGAGACCAAAAGCCAGTCTCGTCTCGAAAAGTCGAGACGAGACGAGACGAGACGAGACGAGACGAGACGAGACGAGACGAGACGAGACGAGACGAGACGAGACGAGACGAGACGAGACGAGACGAGACGAGACCAGTCTCGAGTCTCGCGGCATCACTAATCCTCGCAATCTAACAGAATTTTCGAACGAGCGGAACGACCCTTGCTTCGGGAACGGATTCACCAAACAAGGAAAGACCTAGCAGCTATGGACAAGGATCTTCTATTGCATAACCAAATTTTATCCAGCATGCATTGGAGCGACTGGGACAAAATTGACAGAATGACGTATGACGTGATGGAAGCCACACTAGCAAAAACAATCAAGAAACTAGCAAATAAGTTTGAGTCCTTGAAACCATTGAACACTGCGAAATCCACAGGCAATGATCACACAGTTGTCAACCTGAACCAACGCGTTCTGACTGATACGGGAACCAGTACCTATTCTAAGATAGGAGGCAATTCTGCAATAACACCAAAACACCTGCCATTAGAAGACATCATAGCAAATATGGAAGCCAGCATATGCACATTACCTCAAACCACTGCGGAGAAAATACGCAATAAAGCATCTAGGATTCTACGACTAGCGAAACCTCCAAAAGTGCAATCTGACATACGAGGAAGGGAAAGCTTTTCCCAGCCTGAATACAGACAAGAACATACTAGTCCTGCTTGCGGATACAAGAAACGCAACGGTAATCATGAACGAAACTGACTATAAATCAAAAATTTCCGAACTGCTAGACCTCTCCACCTACAGAAAGCTGAAACGCAATCCCACTACATCTATATTGCGAAAAACCAATCAACTCGTCTGATCACTACCGTTGGACCCGGACAACATAAGAAAACTCATTAAAGCTGGGGCCCTACCATCTAGAATATATGGGCTTCCACTCAGACCGATTGTAAGTGCAATAGATTCGCCTACATACAGCATAGCCAAATACTTCGCCACTCTTCTCCGGCTACGGATTTTATCATAAAGATCAGTGACATCAGTCTACTACCAAACGACATTCTGGTCACAGAACATATCACCTATAGAAAAATATCTCAAATTGGAGAATCGCGACGAAGGTTTTTAGTTAGGCGACACTGTGAAATTTACAGGTATCTGTGGTGTGGACAGTGATTTGTGTTGGTTGGTTTTGTCATTTATTTTGTCATTTTGAAAGTCAAAATTTGAATTTTGAAATTGTGTTGTTGTAAACCATGGTCCCCACGCGCGTTAAAGTGAAAATTCAAAAAGTTTTGCTTGAAAAAAACTCTAATTTTTGTTCGTATTTTTTTGTATTTACGCGTTTTTTTCGTTTCGTTCGTATTTGTATTAATTATTCGTATTTACTTCGCGATCTACCTATAGCTGCGTGTCTCTTGCTAACTTACTAACTCTTTTCGCATCATGTTCGACATCGGAAACTTCCTGCCAGTCATAGTTTTAAAAAAAATGAGGCGAAAAGAGCTAAAAGGAGTCAGCAAGCCAAATGCAGTTGAACATTAGAGAAATTATTTAAAAATAATAAAAATATATGAAAAAAATCAATTCGCCTTTTTGTCAAGAATGCTCGATTAGTTGGGTTTTCAGTCAACGATGGCGCTGTAATTCATAACCGGTACATAACATTGCAGATACTTTTCTAGAGGTGATATGTTCTGTGATTCTGGTTAGTTTTGATCATAGAATAAGGTTTAAGTGGGGATATAGAATGGTAACTCCCATGTTAAAAAAAAGTTTGTATATGTGGCGCCTCTATAGGCTTGGGTCAAAGTAAAATGATTTTGGCGGGATATTTGAACTTGAAACTTTCTTTGTGGATTATCTTTTTAGGCTTTGATCAGATTTAACATTAGTTATTATATTTATCTCTCATTATTAGAAATAAATATAATATGTAAAAACGTTTTTTGGATATGATAGGAAAATAAAACTCGTGTCTGTCAATCGTTGGACTTATAATATTTTTTATTTAGGTTCATATATAAATTATAATTGAACTTTTTCTGTTTGTCTTCACATCAATTTCATCACCAATGGGATTGACGCCATGATAAGGATAAAACTTACCTGAACTAAAACTGGGTAGAAGTAAAAACACTACAACTAATGAATATGATTCATAAAAAGTTTGACAAACTAAAAATTCTTTGACACCCGACCGACCAGTATGACAGCTGATAGCGTCAATATCCAAGGGCGTTCACTAAAATCTATTACCAGAAATGAACATGCGCGCCCCCTGAGCGGCTTGGAGTACATTAAAAGTGGCCAGGATCGTTCAATACAAGTGCGCGTACCATGGTTTTGATGTCATCTCATTGTTTACCAAGGTACCAGTCAATTAGGCCTTAGAATATCTGAAAGATGTTTTTCCGGAAAAAATCAATAACTTTTTCACCACTGTCTGACGACTACGTACTTCCAATGGCAAAATAAATTCTTTGAGCAGACAGATGGAGTCCCAATGGGGAGTTCACTCAGCCTGGTTATCGCCAACTTCTGCATGGAACACTTCCAACAAATGGCACTGTGAACGGCCACAAATATACCTACTTGTTGGTTTCGCTATGTAGATGACACTTTTGTTGTTTGGAACCATGGACAGACAGAGCTCGAAAACTTCCTTAATTATCTAAACTTAATAGAACTCAGGATACAGTTTACGATGGAAGCTGAGAAGGACAACAAATAGCATTCCTCGACGTCTTCTAAGAAAGATTACCCTCAGGTGAACTGGGACACAGAGTATATAGGAAGCCGACGCATACGGATAGATACCTCAACAAGGAACCCAATCATGATCCTAGGCAAAAGAGAGGAGTCTCTGTTTGACAGAGCAATCCGGATTTGTGAGCCCAGATACCTTCAGGACGAGATGCAACACCTAAAATCAGCACTTGAAGGAAATGGGTACTCCGAGAAGGAGATTAACAGAGCTATGAGACCGAAGCAATAGCGCACAAATAATAAGGAACCGGCACAGGTGGCAGGGAGAGCCTTTCTTCCCTACATGAAAAATGTCACAGATCGCATAGAACGAACGCTACAAAAACAGAACATTAGGCTCATTAAGCTCACAACGCCAATTCAGCAAAGTCTAAGATCGGTCAAGGATCCTAAGGCACCTCTTGAAATGGCTGGCGCCTATAGAATTCCCTGCTCTCGTGGATCTGTCTATGTACGAACAACCAAACGCTATATCAACACCAGGGTCAAAGAGCACAAAAGAAACTGTCAGCAGGGATAAATAGACAAATCAGCAATCACCGAACACGTGTTAACACAAACAAACCATGTCATCCGTTTCGACCAGACTCAAGCATTGGATAGAACCATTGTATATAGAACCAAACATTTTTATACCAGACTCCGCATAGAAGCCATAGATATACAGAAACACCACAACAACTTCAATAGAAAAGAAGATGGCATGAACCTTAACAAAAGCTAGTTGTCAGTTCTCCGAATAACAAAGACCCTTCCTTTCCGAGAACAAGACAAGGAAAATAGCGTAATACAAGCCACGTACAAAACCCTGGACATATATAACGAAGGTCCAACAACGTCGAATCCGGTCAACGTCGGAACACGGAAGAGAACACTTCGTCCTCTACCACAATGCTTCTGAAGATGTCTACTGCAGCAGTAGACGAAACGTTAAGTAGAAATATTACTCGACCACGGCATTATAGACCGAAAAAACTGTTTTACTAAATTTGACCGGCCGTGAAACCCTTCATTCTTTATTTACCTGATATGTATTTTGTTGAAACTTAAAGGCCTTGCGCTTATTTCGAAGCATAAGAAACTCAATCAAGTCTACAATAATATCGAAGGACGAAGGAAATTATAAATTTATATCCAAAAATCAGTTTTATTATTGTACAAATTCTGATCTGTTCTAAGGCACCTCATCCACCGGAAAAATGGGAAGGAATCAAAGATGTCACCACAGAAGGAGCAGAATGTTACTCAAAAAATTACATTACGAATATACTAGGAGGTTCAGAGGATTGTCTGTTTTTGAACGTTTATACTCCAAAGGTAAATACGTAGTATGTACTTGAAATAAATTGATTTTATTTTATTTTTTATCACTGGAGTATTTTAAGTAGACACCTACCTTTCAAATATTGCATTATCTACAATCTAACAATAATTATAATAAGGTGCTAGATTAATAAGTGACTTACATAAAATATTATTAATTTGGATAATGGAATATTTAAATTCTCCATCAGATCAATATCAATCAACATCAAGAAAAACTAATCAAAACTGAAATTGATTCCAAAATTTAGATTAAAGGCAAAAATGAAAAACTGCCAGTCATGTTTTGGATACACGGTGGAGGTTTTGTACGAGGCGATGGAAGTACCGAACTTTATGGTCCAGATTACATTGTTGAAAAGAATGTCGTATTGGTCACAATCAACTATAGATTGGGAGTTTTAGGTTCGTATTTGGAAGTACAAAATCGATAGAAAAAGCTATATCATGTTTCAATAAATCTAATCTAAAATGCTTCAATGTATATTTTAGGATTTCTTGCAATTTCTGACCCATCCGTTGGAGTACCAGGAAATGCTGGATTGAAAGATATAGTTATGGCTCTGAAATGGGTACAACGAAATATTTCGGTATTTTCTGGAGATCCAAATAATGTAACGATATTTGGTGAAAGTGCCGGCGGTTCAGCAGTTGAACTGTTAATACTATCTCCAATGGCAAAAGGTAATAATTGTAACATACCCAATAAAGTAACATCATCATACCTTTTTAAAATAAAAGTTTTAAGTGTAAATTACTATTTTTTTGAAGGTCTATTTCATAAAGCAATAAACCAAAGTGGAAGTGCTCTAAATTGCTTCACAAGAGGAAAATGCTCGTCTGTCTATGATCTAGCTAAAAAACTTGGCATTGAAAATAATGACGACACATTAATTTTGTCAGAATTGCAAAAAGTTCCTGTAGAAGATTTAGTGAGAAATAGTTTGAAAATCCCCGACGTGAGTGTTAAACATTCAAATAACATATCTCAGTTAATAAAATGTATTATTTAATTATAGTCGTACCTAGTCTCAATCTTAAGGCCATTTTGTGTAGTCATAGAACCTAAAACCAAAGAGCCGGGTTTCCTTACCGAAGAACCATTAGATATAATTAAATCTGGAAGATTTATCAAAGTTCCTAGAATAATAGGTTACAATTCGTTAGAGGGTATTTTTGTGCATATTGTGATGAAACACAAACCCAACCTTTTTTTGTCCGATGAAAATTTAGTACCTCATATGATGAATTTGAGAATAGGAAGCGACCAGTACAAAAAAGTAGCTCTAAGGATTAGAGAAATGTATAAAATTACAGGAAAAGAATCGGATAAAAATGCTGCAGACTTGGAAAAAGCGTTAAATGTATGTTTTTTTCAAGCTAAGATTAGTATAATCTTTTTTTTTTTTTCTAGATTTTCACTCATAATTTTTTTTCGGCAGACATTTGTCGATCAGCAAGATATCAATTGAAGCATAACGAATATCCAATATATTTTTATCGGTTCGATTTGGATACTGAAATAAACATGATCAAAAAGCTTGCTGGATTAGATGTTAAGGGTATAATCCAGTTCAAATTTAAATAGATCTTAGTTTTAAATTATTGATATTTCAGGCGTTGCTCATGCAGATGACCTAAGCTACTTTTTCACCAATTTCTTAACGCCTCCACCGGAAAGCAGTTCTCTGGAATTAAAGCTAATTTCAAAACTGACAAAAATATGGACAAATTTTGCTAAGCATGGGAATCCTACTCCATCAATAGACGAAGAAGTAGAAACAATATGGGACCCAATAACAGTTGATAGTTTTAATTATTTGTCTTTAGAAAATGATGGTTTTAAAATGTTAAGGAATCCTGATAAGGACTATATGGATTTTTGGTACGATTTGTATGAAGAATTTCAGTTTAAGTTATCGAAGTTGTAACACATATATCATCTAGGAATATATATTTTCATATCACACTAGTAATGACATCTATTTTATTTTTCTCGTTCTCGTACATGGTTTAAAATTAATCTTTTTTGACTGATTGGCGAAGGTAAACTAATATAAATCGCCTTCTAGAGAGGAATTTATAGATAAGAGTGAGAGCCTGACGAAATTAAGTATTATTTTGAAAACATTTAATGTGCATATGCAACAGGTTGAAAATACTGCATTGGCAATAGTCTAGTTTGATAACAAAAAGGTCTTCGATCTCCGAGTTATTTTAATCACCTATCTTCTGGGGTATAGCCCTTATTCAAATGTATCAAGGGAAAGGCGCGCATTCGCCGTTATAGCCAGAAATTGAAAAGACTGATTATTTATAGTGAAAAACCAATAATTAGGTAGGTTATAACGTAACTCACACATCTACTTAGGGCGTGGTAAATTCAGAAGCAAGAACTTTGTGTATACCAGTCAGTATACCTAATCCCTTTTCAATGTGAAATAAAACAATATTGATGCGGTTTTACAATTGTTAGCTTCACAAAAATAATTGACGAAAATAGTTGTCAATTTCTGAAGAAGATTTAATAATAAAAAAATTATTTAAATGTTCTACTAGAAATATATAGTTACTTAATTGGTACCTATATCTAGCAAGAATATTATATACAGTGTGTTTGCTAAAAATGCGGCAAAAATGCAAAATGTGAATTCTGACATATTTTTATGAAGAAAATTTCATATAAACATTTGTCGAAAAATGCTTCTAATAAATGGAGCTAAGCCTCTTCGGATGGGGCACTGCCCTCAAAGACGGCTGACGGTTTTTCCTCAATATTTTCGAAACGGTTCATATTGAAATTATATTTGGCATGCCGCATAAAATTTCAACGTTCAATCAGAATGTGAGCTCAGCATTTCAAAATTTCAATCCGAAGCTTACTATTTTGGAGGGGTGAGAATAAAAATAACCCAATTTTTAGTTTAATTCAGCAATCATAAATTTAATTTTTATAATAATAACTGTTTACATTCTGATTTTAAAATACTCATACCCCTGAAGGGGTTTTTCACGTAGAAAAGATACTCTTGAATCATATCGATAGGGCAGATCGTTTACGAGAAAATTGAAAACTTCTACATCCACGCAAGCTACTGAATCTGTAGTTACTACACAGATGATATGGTTTGACTAAGCTGGGCATAAAATTCCTGTTTTTGGTTATCGTCAATTGTGAGGATTGGAGCATAGGCGCTGATTAGTACCTTGTTGGTTGTTAATGAGGTTTAGCTGCAGTGTCATCAGTCTTACTTACTAAAGTTTGCTTCATTTTCATATTTAAATTCGTGTATATTACAGTCGACCAGATAATTAATAAAAAGAACAATTAAAAAAAAAGCGAAATTTATCAAATAAAACTATTATAATCAGGCCTATGATGTATCCTCTCCTGTTATTTTTTAACAGCTATGTTATAGCTCAACATCTATACTCCTCTCTATTTTGACACATAAAATAAAAAGTGATAGACAACTTAACGTTGATGTTAAAATAACAGAAAATGATAGATCATAGGCCTGATTGTCACAACTCCTATACGTTTCGTCCTGGGACGACACAACAGGAGCGTGACCTGAGGGCGTAGGTGGGGTTCAGGTAGAGAGAAACTTGGTATAGGTATGATAGGATATGTATCGAATAATAACAATATTACCCTAGAAATGTTATCATGACGTCTTTTCTACGGAGGGACGTACTACTTATAGGCCACTCTGTATTATGTACCCTCTGTACACTTGGCGTGACTGAAGACTGAAGCTGGGTTTGAAACAGGTCCAGAAAGGCGTTTCCCATTAAAGGTAGTTTGCACTGGACCTAGTCTGCTGCGTTCAATACTCCCAGAAGAGCGTTTCCCATTAAAGGTAGTTTGCACTGGACCTAGTCTGCTGCGTTCAATACTCCCAGAAGGGCGTTTCCCATTAAAGGAAGTTTGCACTGGGAGGAGACTTAGCTAGAGGGGCTTTTCCCATTTGAGAACCTTTGCACTAGCCTTAGTCTGCCGGTAATGGATTTTGGCGCGGTATTCATACCAAATTAATGCTGACGCGTCGACACACTTTAGTCAAATTGATGTACAGAGTGGTATTTACGTAAGTAGTAGACAATATTATGCTGGGGATTTCTGGGATACGGAAAAGGTAGAAATAACCCTTGTAGATTGTAGATTGTAGATTTCGAGGGAGTCGTTTCGGCTTTTCAGCCACTCAGCACTCTGCTACCTTTGCAGATATTTCGTGCGTGACTCTACATCTTAATTTGTCTCCAGGAAGCGTAGACTTCTGCCGAAGGAAGCTATTTTCCTGGTTGTCAGTTGGCCCACTTCTTCTGGTGACAGTGTTGCCCCCTCGAGGAATTTGAGCCTCTTGCAGAATTGGGCTGGACATTCGCAGAGCAGGTGCTCTGCGGTCTCTATTGCGTCTGAGCAGTATCTGCAGAGATCGTCTTCCGCTCTGCCCATTAACCTTAAATGGTATTTTACTGGGCAGTGTCCTGTGAACAGTCCCACCACCAATCTGATGTCTGGTCTGCTCATGTTTAGGAGCTGTTCAGCTCTTTTTGCTGAAAGGGTAATAAACCTTTTTGACTGTCTGAGTACCGGTGTGTGCCTCCAATATGATGACAGTTGGTCTTTCTCCCATTTATTGAGTTCTTCCATGATGTGGCTTTTCATTAAGCCACAGTAGGGCTCTGGTCCATGGTATGGTGTTGAGGCCCCTTCCTTTGCGAAGCCATCTGCTTCTTCGTTTCCTTCTGTGTACCACAGAGATGCATTGTCTGCTTGTTGCAATTCTTTATTCTCCCATGATTGGCGGTCGTTTATTACCACTGCGAAGGGGATCTCTAAGTCCAATCTGACCATCATGTGGTCACTTGGTTTGCTGGCATTCTCCAGTTTTATTAGATCAAGGATTCTCAGATGTCCCCTCAGATCGCCAGGCTAGAACTTGTCTATTTGGAATAGCCTGTGAGCGCTGGTTATTGCCTCCTTTTTCACACATAGGTGAAGTGGAGGCATGTTGAGTAGCGACTCTAGGGCTGCGGTGGGGCAAGTTGACATTGCTCCCGTTATTCCTATCTGATCGGTGACTTGTTGGGTTTTGGGCCACCACATCAATGAGGCGTATGTGAGCATGGGCTTTATTATAGTTTGGTAGATCCAGAATACCATCTTTGGCTTTAGCCCCCATGTTTTACCAACAAGTTTTCGGCATGACCAAATGGCTGATGTAGCTCGAGAGTATGTTTTCTCTAACTGTTTGTTCAAGTGAAGGTTCAGTCCAGGGTGACCCCTAAGTACTTCATCACTTCGTTGGAAAATGTTAGATGTGTACCGTTAAGGGTCGGGGCTTTCAAATTTAGCTTTCTTCTTATTGTGAACGGGACAAGGATTGTTTTGTTTGCGTTTAGGGATAGTCCTTCGCCTTCGCTTCAATTTTTAACGATGTTTAGGGCACTGCATTCGGCTTGTCACTACGCCTTTATGTTTGCCCTTGATTGCAATGGCTAGGTCATCTGCATAACCTATGACCTGTTATCCAGCACTACTTAGTCTGGTAAGAATTTTGTTTACCACCAGTTTCCATAGTAGTGGAGAAAGAACACCCCCTTGAGGACACCCTCTGACCGTGGTAGCGGTAGCTGATGCTCCGTTTATTTCAGCCATAACGTAACGGTGTTTCAGCATCGACTCTATCCATTTTACAATTGGGACTTCAACATCCCATTCTTGTAATGCTCTGGTGATTGATTGATGTGAGGTGCTGTCAAAGGCACCCTCTATGTCGATGAAAGCTGTGAGAGCAAACTCTTTGCACTCGATTGTCTTTACAATGTCTTTAAAGGGGGTGTGACCCAAAAACGAAAGTTTTAGTGCAAAAAAATCTAAGAATAAATATTCAAACCGCATCTTACTACGATAGTTTGTTTTCGAGTTAGGGCGGCTTAAAGTAACAACTAGGTTTTTGTGACGTCACACCGAACTATTAGGCACAGTATTAACACGGATAAAAATTTTCCAAAACAAAATACAATTATCTCACTAGAGCGAATTGCAACCACTCAAGTATGGGGTGCGGTTTAATGACGACTAAATGAACAGAAGACTGTGATTTAGGCGGTTGTGACGTAACAAACTCCTGCATAATTTATCTTCACAAGGAATTTTCTCGGAAAATATTTTGAATATAGGACTGCGGTTTTCACGAGAGATCTTAGATTTTTTTTCTTGTTTTGAGTAGCCTAAGTTGTTTTTTAGGGTCACACCCACATAACGCACTTATTGTGGATTTGCCTGGCTGATAAGCAAATTGCTTCGAGTAGAGCGGTCTTCTCAATAGAGTTTCGCTTCTGATGTACTGGTCGATTGCTTTCTCCATTGTCTTAAGGAGAAAGGAGGTTAGGCTAATGGACGATATGATTTTGGTTCGTCCTCGGGTCTACGACCCGTTTTTGGTATGAATATCACATTAGCTTCCCTCCAAGATAGCGGTATGTGCCCTAGGAGCAGGCTTGCCTTAAAAAGCTTTTGTAGGTATAATTTAAGTACTCGTAGCCTTTTTGCAGTTGTGCGGGAAAAATCCCGTCTTTGCCTGGAGATTTGTAGGGTCTGAAGCTATCAATCGCCCATTTTATTCTGTTCATTGTGAAGATTTTCCCAGCCAACCTTTTGCTCCCGCCGTTAGGGCTTTGTGACCCTTCGATAGGCGGAGTGACCTGGTTCAGGGCTTCAACGATTACCGAACCTGGAAAGTGAGTTTGTAGTAGTACCTCTAGATTTTCTATATGGTCGGTACAGTGTTCTCCGTTTGGCTTTTTAAGCACACCAATTCCGTTTGAGTGGTTTTTTGAAAGAACTTTTTGGAGACGTTGAGCTGGGGCTAATTCGTCTATCCCCTCGCAGAATTGTCTCCATGATTTCCTTTTTGATTTTCTTAGTTCACGGTTGTACTTGTCTAGGGCTGTTCTATAGTCTGCC